TAGCAGATTCTAGCGGAGTGAGCTTCAACTTCTTGCGGTCTTTTCTCTAAGTCTCTCACGACACCCGGGGACATGGCTCCCGGTGGCTCCTGAAACTGCAAGCGGCGACCGTGGCTGCACAGGCGTGCGCACTTTCAACGGCAGAGAAGGGGCTGGATTGCGACATCGCTGACTGCGCTCCGCCCTCCTGCAACCGCCGTTGGCGGGGCCTTGCAACCAGGACCTCAGATATCACTCGGAGTTGGATGTATGGCGGATGCATTTATGGCCCGCATGTCGTGCCTTGAGCTGGCTCGCCAAGCTGCTCAACAGCGCCTCGGTGGGCATGTGTCCTTCCTACAATGTGGCAACGTGGCTTGCACACGAATTTTGCACGCGCGAGCATGTACCTACCTACTTACCTACCTATCTACCTACCTACCTACCTCCCTCCCTCCCTCTCTACCTACCTACCTACCTACCTACCTACATACATACATAAATACATACATACGTATATATACATACATACATACATACATACATACATACATACATACATACATACACGTATGCGTGCATGCATGCATGTACGTACATGCGTACATATGCATACATACGTAGCCACCTACATACATATATATATATATATATATATATACACAGAAATAACTAAAATACACCAGCGAAGACCCCAAACAGAATGCATCGAATCATGCCGGTTCAGGTTGCAACGTGTTGGAAACCAATCTGTCTTCGCCAGCAGATGCTGCGAAACAGATGTTTAAGCATTAGAGGATATTCTTGTGCAAAAGAAGAATGGGTGGTGATGACATCCGTGATGAAGGGTGCCCAATGGGAATGGGCCCGGCTCGTCACCGCGGCCCACCCATCCGACCATGGAGCCCAGAAAGGAAACATGAAGGGAGCCCAATATAATCCCACCCTGTCGCCGCGGCCCACCCATCCGACCATGGAGCCCACCTGTTTTTCTGAAGAGAGCTGTTTGGGGAATCAATACATATATATATATATGTAAAAATACATATATATATATACACACAGAAATAATTGAATCAATATGTATGTGTATACATATATATACAGAGATAAATAAACCTATAATATATATATATATATATATATATGTATATCTCTCTCTCTCTCTCTCTGTCTCACTTTAGGACCGCTCAGTTTTGCAAGCACGGCTCGGTTCCGGACTTGACGGCGGGGTATCTGCACCCGTCGGTCCCCCGAGCCATCCACACGGGCCACTGCCGCAACGCTGTCGATGACCTGAGCGATGAAGGCTTTAGGGTTTAGGGGTTTAGGGGAGCCCTTAGAAACTGGTGCTTGGTGGGGGGTTTAGGGCTTCTGACGGGTTTTCCCCAAGCTTGCGGTTGCCTCTCGCCTAGAGCCCAATCCTGCAGTCCCAACCCCTCAATCCAAAAGTTCGCAAGCGTGTCCATGGCATGAGCCGCGGGCCAGCAGGCCAGGTAGAGGACCGCCCCCCAGCGCTCGCCCGGCCAAGTCCGAGCAAAAGTCATGCAACTCTTGGAGAGAGCTGCAGGCCTCGGTCTGCGGGCAGCTCCCACTTAGGATGCCGGGCTTAGGGCAAGACATGGGCATTATGACGGATTTAGCCTTTCGGATTTGCAAGGTGCTGGCAAGCCGTGAACCGTGACATGCTTTCATCCTTACCACTTCTCTGCGTACAACAGGCGCATTTCCGCCACTTTCAAACAAACTCTTCTCCGGCCGGTTGAAACGTTTGAAGCCAGCGCTTGGCATTGCGGTCCAATCAGAATGTTTAGGGATTTATCGAATGAGGTGCGGAATGGGTTCTTAGGGGTTCTTGGTTTCTGTGACGTTTGAGCGATTGAATTTGGGACGTGTGCCAAACGCTGAGGACCCGGCACGATGCTTAATTCGTTGCATTGCTTGCGTAGCTTGAGCTGCGGCCTGCTCAGAGAACGAGCTTGCGAAGTCAGCCATAAGGCGCTCTGGCTTTCAAGCCAGGAGTCGTGTTATGGGGTACTAGGATTTCGGGTGTAACAGCATGTAACATGTAGGAATTCAGTCCGTACTGTAAGGTCCAGACATCCAAACCAGCCCTCGAATGCACCACATCCTAGGCTCCGAACCCTAAGCCAAAAGCGCCGTCTCCTCAAACCTACAAACACCCCAAACTCCTAAGCCTTCACCCCTCGACGTCTCGATTCCAAGCCTCAACCTCCAAAACCCTTTAAAGCCACCTCTTGCGGTCGAGCTGAAGCACTGAGCTGTACCTCCAACCTGAATGGACTTTAGAGGCTTGATGACCTAGTCTCGAGAGCTCGCAGAGCTTGTGCTTGGAGGCGTCTCGTTCAAAGTCGAAGGGGGTGAGGAACCCTGATCCCTGAAACCCTGAACATAGGGCTGGCGCGTGCTTTTCGTGATTTCGGGGTTTGCACGTCTTGTTTGGGGCGCGCTGGCCGCTGGATCCTCAACCCTCGGCTGTATTCTGCCCATCGTCACCCTACCGTGCCAACGCCCCAGGCATGCCCTCAGCCGGGGCACAGGCATTTCATGCACTCTCTGCGCAGAGAAAGTCCGTTCCGTGTCAATCCAGAACACCTTGACTGCTTCCAGTTATTGACAGAAAGTAGATGTTTCAGGGCTCGGGTAGTTGACGGCTCAAAACACCGAAAGAAACCGTGTGGAGAGACAGCATATTACCTCAAGTTGACTGCCCACGCTGCTGTTGCACTTATCTCTCTTGCCCCGAACCAAGCTAGCGAGGGTTGGCGCAGTGGAATGCGTCACAGCATCAGTATATAGTGGTGGTAGTAAGATATATAGAGAGAGTAAAGCTAGAAGTTGAAGCAACTTCTGACTTGCAGGCCAGGCTGCATCATGGCCACAAGCAGCGATCAAAGCTGCAGCATGCAGGCAAAACCTCCGCACTTTGGAGAGGACCCAGGTTGCCCTTGGCCTGAAACCCCCCCAAACTTCGCAGCTGAAGATATCTTAAAATCAGGCCAAAATACATCCCGAAATACTTCTCAGACCACAAAGCCAACTTCTGAAATCCAGACTAACCTCGACTCCTGGATTGCGCCAAGGCCTTCGATTCATCTCTGCTTCCGACGGACCCTGAGCTCCTGGCTGCGTCTTGCCGACGCCGGGTGGCCCGGCGACCTGGCGCTGAATGGCAAAGCGCGACAGCTGAAATCTAAAGCTTGGAGTTCTTGCTCTGATACTGGGCGGTGGATGATGCCGAAGAAGGCAGTGGCAGCGAGGACGACGCAGCAACCACAACAAAACAAAAGTGATGCAGAGGGGGAGAGGATGTTGATTGATGACCCCGAAATCTCAAGACGACCCGAAGACCCGGCTCGCCTCCACCAGCGCCGCAGAGAGCCCCCCCGCACCCAGTGCAAGGCTCAGGGACGGCAAAGGACAGGGCCGTGGCCTGGGTCCATTCGGTTTAGGGTTCATGGTTTGGGGTAATTGCTTGCAAAGCCATTTAAGTCCCGGGTTCACGGTGAAACTATGGCTACTATATCCTGCCTTTGTGTTCATGACTGCACTTATTTCATGTTCACGGCGTCAGCCTGACTCCGGTGATTGTGAATTCTGCTATGATTCAAGTGTTCTTGTCGTGATCGTGTTGTCTTCTGATGCCATCACCTCTACAATGGGACTAGCAACAGGATCGGCCAAAGCTGGACTCATTCCTGGCATAACATCTAATGGGACTCTGCACACCCCCATGACAATGACACCAGTGCAGATATACATGTTCATATATACACACAGATAAATGTGTATGTGTGTGTATATGTATACATATATATATATATACATATGTGTATGCATGTGTATGCATGTATATATATATATATAGGTGTATGTATGTATCTATCTATATGTATG